AGAACTTTGTCATCCCATCGAGCAAGAAGAGTGCCATTGTGATCAAGGACCCTGGTAGTGGCGCGGTGAAGACATTCGAGAAGGCCCCGGCATCTCCCGCTCGTGCAACCCCGTCCCCCGTGAAGTTGGCGACTCCGACCGCCACACCGCCGCCTCGCAGCAGCAGTGGCGCGGATCACACCCGGACCGACTCCAAGACAGCCAAGACGGACGAGGAAAAGAAGCAGGAGCTGAAGGATGCTGTGCGTCAGAAGATCGAGCAGGATGAGGCCGAGGCCCGCCGCAAGAAGGAGGCCGCGGAGACCGAGGTAACTCGTCAAAAGGAAGAAGAAGAAGAAGCCGCTCGCAAGAAGCAGGAGGAAGAGACGGCCCGCAAGCAGAAGGAGGAAGAGGAGGCCGCGCAGAAGAAGGCTGCGGACGAGGAAGCCGCGCGCAAGGCTCTCGAGGATCTGAGCCTGAAGGACAAGGCCGAGGAGGCCAAGCCCGCTGCCGAAGAGTCTTCCAAGACTGCCGACCCCACTCCTGCTCCTGCTGACGACGATGACATTGATTACGATGCTATCGAGCGGGAATTGGCCGAGCTCGAAGCGAAGGAAGCTGCCGCAGAAGCCGCCTACTATGCTAAGAAGCAAGCCGAGAAGGAGGAGAAGGAGCGCAAGGAGAAAGAGGAGCGGGAAGCCTACGAGGCCAACATGAAGAAGGCCGAAGCTGAGGCTGAGGCTCTTGAAGAAGCTCGGATGAAGAAGCGCGAAGCGGGTGAGCAAGACACCTCGAACAAGGACCTGTTCGCTTCGCTTAAGAAGGGAGGATATGGTGCGACGGAAACCAGCGAGCCCGCCGAGAGCGGAACTGCTACTCCCGCTTCGGATGCCTCGATGGGTCCTCCCGCGAAGCCTGCCAGTGCTGGCAAGCGTGAGAAGCCTGCTGCGCTCAAGTTGGAGACCAACAAGGCCGTCGAGCCGCCTCAGCCTAGCGCCGCCATGAAATCTCTTCACTCCGCTCGGCTGATCGAGGACTTGAGCCAGGTTTCTTACCCGGCCTCCATTGTGTCTCCCAATCCGGCTTTGAATGCCAGCGCACCCGCGGATCGCAAATTCCACTACAACAAAGAGTTCTTGCTTCAGTTCCAGAGTGTGTTCAAGGAGAAGCCATCCGTCGACTGGGATGCACGCGTGCGGGAGACCGTTGGTGATAGCGACTCCTCTCGCCCACAATCTGCTCGCACACCTATGATGGGTGGTCGCAACTCTTCTCGCTCCGGTATTTCCCAAGGATTCCAGATGGGCAACTTCGGCCAAGCTGCGTCCCGGCACAGTCTGCCTCCGGGCTCAACCTCCGAGCAGCGCTTTGCTCTTGCCAATGCCGCTCGTACCGCTTCTATGAACAACCCGTTCGGCTCTTTCGGACGCGGGCCCATGCCGATGGGCTCGCCTGCGCTCAGTCGCACCAACTCGGCCAACCCCATGATGCCAGGATCGCCTCGCCCGGGTTCCAACCGTTCGGGCACGCGCACCGGCAGCAAGCGCGAGAAGCACCAGGCCAAAAAGGAGGAGGAAATGGCCAAGTCCATGCCTCTCACCGCCGGAAAGGAGGTTGCGGCGCTCCAGGTCTCGACCACCGGTTGGAAGCCTCGCAGTGTGGGTCAGGCTCCTCAGCCTACTGGCGCTACCGGTGCTGGTTATCTGGCTCCCGATGTCGTGCAGCGCAAGGTCAAGGCTGCTTTGAACAAGATGACTCCCGAGAACTTCGACCGTATTTCTGGCCAGATCTTGGAAATTGTCTCTCAGTCTAAGGATGAGACTGACGGACGTACTTTGCGCCAAGTGATCCAATTGACCTTCGAGAAGGCAACCGACGAAGCTCACTGGGCCTCGATCTATGCCAAGTTCTGCAAGAGCATGCTCGAAAGCATGAGCCCGGAGATCAAGGACGAGAACATCCGCGACAAGAACGGCAATGTTGTTGTTGGCGGTAGTCTGTTCCGCAAGTACCTGCTCAACCGTTGTCAAGAAGAGTTCGAACGTGGCTGGAAGGTTAACCTTCCTCCTAAGCCTGAGGGCGAGACTGAGGAAGCTGCTATGATGTCGGATGAGTACTACAAGGCGGCCGCTGCCAAACGTCGTGGTTTGGGTCTCGTTAAGTTCATTGGTGAACTGTACAAGCTTGGCATGTTGACAGAGCGTATCATGCACGAGTGCTTGAAGAAGCTGGTTGATTACGAAGGCGTTCCTGATGAAGCCGAGGTAGAGAGTTTGACCAGCTTGCTGCGTACCATTGGTGCCAGCCTTGACGCCTCCGAGAAGGGTCACGCGTTCATGGATGTCTACTTCCAGCGCATCAACAACATGGTGCAGATCCAAGGTCTCCCAAGCCGACTGAGGTTCATGCTCATGGTAAGCCTCATACGATTCCCATTCACGATGGACCGCATATCTAATACATTTCCCCCTTCTTTTTTTAGGACATCATCGATTTGCGTAATGCCAAGTGGAAGTCCAAGGACGCCGACAAGGGCCCCAAGACTATTCAACAGATCAGAGAAGAGGTATGTGTATCTTAGCAGTATTTGGTATGCTTTCTTCTAATCGTCATTGCAGGCTGCTCGTGCGCAACAAGAGGCCGAGATGGAGCGTCTCCGCCAGCAGGCTAACCGCGGTGGCCGTCCTAATATGGGCCGTGGTGATGCTCGCAGCTACTCTGGCTATGGCAACCAGGCACCTCCTCCGGACTACGCCTCCAGCAAGGTCGGCAGCGATGACCTCCGTCGCCTGCGTACCACTCGCAACACCAGTCAGCCCATGTCTTTTGGTCCCTCTAGCATGCTGGGCTCTCGCAGCAGCAGCGGCCGGAAGAACCTTGGCCCTGGTGGCAACTTGGTTCGTGGCAGCGATGATAGCGCTGCTAGCAGCCGGACTGGAACACCCCCTGCTGGCAAGAAGGAAGACAAGGAAGCTGCGTCGTCGATCAACGCGTTCAGGTAAGTTTTGGCATTTCAAGCATCGTCCATCTTTTGAAACCCTTCATCTGACTTTTGGAATAGTGCTCTTGCTAGCTTGGAAGACCGCGACAACATGGCTACCTCCCCCCCCTCGAACCCTACCTCCCCTTTGCTAGCCAAGTCGCAACCCGCCGTTGAGCGCCGGCCATCCAAGACCCCTTCGAAGGACGGCGAGGAAGCATCATAGATTCTCTGGCAATGATAATGAAAATTATTCCGTTTCTTCTGGAAAGATTTCCCACTTATTCTTCTCTTTTTTGTTGAACCTTATGCCATGTTATTCATGTCACATGCCCATTCCTCCTAATCTTCTCGTCCATGATTTCGGTACTCGGTGCCTTATACACTCTTCCGTTCCCATCCATTGATTGGAAGAGGGAGGCACTCCCGACGTTATAATGTACAATGAATGTTGTGTTTCAAAAGCGAAATGCCATAATGAAGGTGGGGGCTTTTGACGAATCTAGCGAGATAGGTTGGCTTGCAGGGATGTCTGATATGTCTTTTGTTTTCTTGTTATGTCCTTTGCATTTCAATACCCGGAGTTGCTTCAGCAGTTTTCCGTCCCGGACAAGCGTTGACGCCGACGTTTGACCCCACCAGGACAAGACTTTTTCACGGCTACTTGTTTGTCTCAAGAGATGAATGTAGCTTATGTGTTTATTTCTTTCCCCCTGTCGTTTTCAGTCATCTTTGTATGCATTGCATCTACACTGGTTTGGTGTGTGCTGGCGATGTCTGCTTCATCTGCTATGATATGTCTCTCTAAAACCCTTTTGCTAGACAAAAACTTCGTTAGAAAAAGTTTCCTCTTTTCATTTCAATCATTTCCTATCTACTTATCTTCCATACCGCGCCCCTTTCTCGGATTATGCTGTCTCCATAGTGTTCTGCTGTTCTTGAGTGTATTCCTCAATTGACTGACGATATCCCCCGGCATCATGCTTGACTCACAGATGAACTTGGCGCAAGTCATCAATTGGATCCCTATCCATCTCCTTGTACTATTTAAGCCTTCTTAAAAAAAGGTATAACATCTCTCAACCCTTTGATGGTAATCATCACCTGTAAGATCCATCGACCGGTTTTCCCCCATTTCTGGATGTTTGGAACCCATCAAGTGAGAACTCTGGCAGTTCTAGGTTGTAACTATAGTAGCTTTTCGTTTCTTATCTATCTATCTATAGATATATCTATATTAGACACTGAGACTGATTCTGAGGTTATCATAGCCATAGGAATCTCATTAAGTTTGATATTTCCCTGGGGGAAGCCAATATAAATAAATTTATGCAGATGTTGGGGTTTTCGGGCGGGTTTTGGTACTTTGGTTGATTTCGTGCGTTGGTTGATATTCTTTAAGTATTATTGGGGAAATAGATAAAGATAAAGCAGAAGAAATACACCATAACGCTTCTGTAAAAAAAAATCTGTTTAGTACATGGAAGGTTCAAGTTTGTGGTGTTACATGTTTATTTGTTTGTGCTTGTTGGAAATGCATTATTAGTGTTAGGTTGAGGAGGTTTGTATTCTACTTGGGTATGTGTGGAAGGTTTTCTTTGGAATATTTCTCGATATGAATTGAATAGTTTATTCGTTGCATTGTTTATCTATTTATGATTTATGCATAGATGCGAGATCTATTCCTGCGGTCTTGATGCTGATGCTGATGCTAATGCTTGTGCCTGTCGGTGTATGATGTATGTTTGAAATTATTGTATTGGAGTGGGGTTTGTGGTTAAGCATTGGGGTGATGATTCCCATTAGGACCTTATTGACCAAGGCTTGTAATCGATTCTGTTTCATGATGGATAGCGTAGGCGCCCTGCATGTGCGACTGGTCTCAGCATATGAGGAAGTAGAGACATAGTCAAATATGCACATGGTGGTCCGTTGAGAGTAGATATGGTGTATGTGCTTCCTTTGTATAGAGGGAATAATGTATCGGCATGATGTTTATGTAGCCATGGATTTTTCCTTATGTGCGTGTAGCCTTTGATTATGTGATGACTGATGGTGTGATGATATGATTTCTCATAGGAGAACACAGGGCTAGCACCCTTTTTCCGGATGAGGTCTGAAGTGGTACATTGTAGTAACTTGTTGGAGGAGCGTCAGGCTCATTGACCATTTGCTCCCTTCTCGGCCATATCTTCGGTGACAATGACCGGGATGTTTAGTTTGGAACTGCCTGGCCTTGGTGTACTCTGATTGGAGCTGGTCAGCTCGCACTCATCTGTCGACGTTGCATCAGCCGTCTTGGACTCTTCCGTAGATACCGTCTCTGACAACGAGCCTCCGGACGCATCTTTGGTCTGCGGACCAGGTTCGTCATCCGTTGTGCTTTCGCTCTCGGTGCTTTCTGGGCTTCCTGCCGCTGGGCTGTGGCTGGTGCCCGGGGAGCCGTCTCCCAATGGTGGCGATTCATTTTCATCATGGCTAACACTGCTTCGCTCGGACATCGAGAGCGAACTTCGGGAGTTGGCGTACGACTGAGGCAGGCCGAGAGCTGCGGCTACCGCAGCTTCTTCGTCCGGAAGCTTTGAGACGTGACTGTCTGTACTCGAACCCGCGTCGAATAACTTGCTTCCACGCTGCTCGCTCAATTCTAGGATCTGATTATAGCCGCGGCGGGTGGGATCCGCAAGACGCTTTTTCTTCTTCTTTTCTCGCTTGGTGGAGGGACGGACCACGATCACGGGAATTGGAGATTGCTGTAAACAGTACTTGGAGACGGAGCCGGGCAGCAGGCCCTGTACGCCGCCCAGGCTACGGCCACGGGTGCCAACAATCAGTACGGAAGGCTCATAGATCCGGATCTTGTTCTGTCAGCTCGTCTCAAACGCGCCAAGATAGGAGGAGGGCCGACGTACCATGCGCTGAATGATATCCTGGACTTTCCCCACCGCCAGTTCCAAGACTAAGCTAATTGCCTTCTCATCCTGACTATTCTTCTGAATCACCTGCTCGAACAACTTCTCCGCTTCCTGGCGATACTTGCCTTCCTCGATTGCGGCGTCACTTGCGATCATGGAGTCCTTTTCCACGGCCCGGAGACAGACGATCTCGTCGCCATCGTCCACCAATTCGTCAATGAGCCACTCCAGGGCAAAGTCGGAATAATCATTCTGATCCGTGCCGCACAAAAAGGTCCGACTGCGCCGGGTACACTGATACCCTTTATGTTTGTAGTTCAGAGTTAAAGAGAAGTCCGCCGCGTCAGGATTATCGAATGTATTGAAAGAAACACCTCTTTCGTAAGTTCTACATAAATGCGGATGTAAGTTAGCCATGACGAGAGTAGACAGAAGATGCATAACCGACTTACTGAGGAGGCGGAGGTGAATGACCTCTCCCAGCGGCTTTCTGTTCCTTGTCCTGCGCGTCTGGTTGTTGTGGCCGGCGCCCGCCGACGGCGCTCGTGGATCGACGGTGGTGACTCTGTGGCTCGGCCCCGTCAAAGTTGAATTGGATCGACTTCCGACGGGGACTATCAGCCGAGGACGATGTGCGTGAATTTTGGGATGAGGGTTCGGAAGCGTTGGATGCGCGCTCCTCGCTCTCAAGGGAGCTTTTGGGGGTGGAGGTCATGATGTAGCGTGGGTGTCAATGGCGCTGTAGCGAGCGTCGTCGTTGATAATGTAGTATTATGCTTGTTCGTTTTCCTGAAGTGAATGCGACCAGACTAAGAGACTCAGAAGATTGCGATGGAGCAATGGCTGTCTGTGTTCTTGGAGACGATCCGGATAGATCAGGTCACAACTCAGCCACCGTGAAGCTCCTGAAGTGCTGCCAGTGGAGTGATGCGGAGGACGCTGGGCATGGTTTGCGATGGGATCAGCTGGGTTGCCCTTGAGCAAGGGGGATTTGGGTTAACCTTCCGGTAGGAACCCGTTGTCAAGTAGAATAGTAGGATAGACGAACAACTACTACAAGAACGAGCCTCTTACGAGCAGTTTCCGGATGCAGCAGGAGAAACACGGGGGAGGAGGGGCCAAAGGCGGTGAGGCAGTCCCCCCTGTCACGTTGGGTTGACATGTGAGGCTCCATGGTCACGCAGGACTCCAGGAACCCTAAGGAAGTCGGTCTCCTACATAGAAGTTGTGTGTCCTGTATCAATCATCTTGTTGTTCAAGTTTAGACGACATATAATAATGGTGGACTGGATGATTACATAGAGTAACTCGGCCTTCTTGGATCCAAACCCAATAAACAACTATTCTCAATAAAATTAGATTAATCAAGACCCTGGTTGATGTTGATTATGATCATCAATTATGCCGTGGATGAGATAATCTATGCCGCACTTATGCCCCTGGGACAAATCACGAGAGGTTCATCCTCTCCTTCCCCGTGAAGAATGTCAGTTGATCGGCCAAGGGAAAATCCAACCGAAAAAGGAAATGAAGCCAAACGAGAGGAAATCATGACAGGACATCCCGAGGATCCGAACCACCATCGAATCTCAGAGCATGGTGCCATGGTGACTCAAGCTCCGACTACGAGCTATTGAAGTCAATCCTCGGATCTCACGGGAGTCACGGCGTCCGAATAACCTTCTTTTTTTTTTTTTTTTCCTTTTTGTGAGACGGTCTTCCGGAGAGTTTTTGCCCGCGTTTCCACGATAATCTCCACTTGAAGTGCCATCTTATCAGCGGGAGTTGATGGACACAGCCACCCAGCCGATTGATCCCGGCCACCCCCTCCTTTGGAAGAACAAACAAACAAGACAAGTGAGGCGAACCACGACCGAGTGACTTGTTCTGTCTCGACCAGTGATCCGCCGGCTGGTCGCCCATGTGATTGATCCAAGTCGCCTGGGCGGTGTGCGCGGGTGCGGGTGCCGCGTTAAATGATCGGCGTCTTGGATCCTGGTCTAGATTGTCAACTAGTTTTGTATAGTCAGCCCAACTATTGGGTCGGTACCTAAACTAGTCCTGAGCTAAGAGAATCGTTATCAGCCCCTCGAGCGGACCAGCTCTCGACTGCAGAAAGGACCCTGGGAAATATGAACCAGGATGGAGAGTGAAGAAGTATTATCTATATATTTCTTTGATGCGAAAAACCTATATATAATTCTAACTAAGGTATATGATATGCATCGTCGTCGTCAAGACATTCAAGGGCACAGGACCATGCCTGGCCAGCAAGTGGGGAACATAAAACAAAAGCCCCATATGAGAGTAGAGGATCCAACAATGCCCAACCGTTTAGGCACGTTAAGTCTGAACGCCAGTAAGTCCAGACCATGCCAGGCAGTAAATGCAACAATCGCCAACAATGAAGATATTTTTTTTCTGTGCTGCCCAAACGCCGTACCCGCTGAAATAATGTATCGCTTGAAACAAATCCAAAACCAAACCCAAGAATGTAGGAGGGGTATCACAAAGAAGGGTATGTACATCGATGCAGTCGTCAATCAGCGAGGGCGTTTAGTACGCCTCAATAATCGCATTCTGCGAGCCGTTCGATACGTAATACCCGTCTTCAAATCCATTTCCCGACAGTGGAAGTTCGGTCGCTTCGGCTTGCTTCTCAGAGAAAGTGTCCAGGGTGGGTTGCGGGGGGGATGGAGGCATTGATTCCTCCTCGGACTCCTCATCGGAATCGGACGACAGCTCCGGTGGAGTCTGTCGTGATGGAGACCGGGTCAAAGTCAGCTCCTCCAAGTCCTCTGCATCATCGTATTCAAAGTCCGAGTCGGAGTCGGAGTCGTAGTCTTCCTCAATTTCTTTCTCTCGGACAATGGCCACCGGCGATGGGGCTCGCCGACGAACAGGTGTGTAGGCAGGTTCATAGTCGTCTTCCTCCAAGTCAGAATCGTCACTCAGGTCGGAGTCGGAAACATCTTCCGGATCCCAGTCCTCTTCGGGATCCTCCACCACGCTTTCGGCCCATTGGATGTGACGGGATTCAGATGGGGAGCCCTTGGTCACGCCGTGGACGGTCTGGTTAAACCAACGTTCTTGCTCTTGTTCGGCATCGGCAAGTTCCAGCATCAAGGAGTCGAGGAGGTTGGCATGACCAACCAAGAGGCGCAAGTCATGGTCCGCCCGAGAAGCCTCCCGGGTGAGCTTCTTGCGGGCGGCGTGGGCGAGGTAGTATGTTTGAGTGATACTCATTTTCTTTTGTTGACGCCTCCGGGCGAGGGAAGTAAAGTAAGCACTGGGAGAGGAAGTGTGATAGGAGGAGGCGAGGGAAGAGGGAGTAGAAGTAGTCGTCGTGGCTGAGGAGGTTGTGGGGAAAAAAGAGGACCCCATGGCGCAATCTCCGGATGTTGATGTGCTTATGAGCTCAAGTTTCGAATGCCCAGACTGACGATGACTCGTCCGTTCCCACTGTGACTCAGGCAGACCTACTGTTTCCGGCGAGGGTAGATCGGCCAATGAACGTCCCGGATAGGGGGCGGTGAGTCAGACTGCAACAAAGGCGCAGATCAACTAAAATGGATCTCTTATCGGGTACCTTAGTAGCCCTAGTAGGAGGCAAGGTATGAATTCTTTCAGGTCCAATAATTGGGACCACAACAAAAGTACTTCTTCGAAGCTGCACGATGGACGCTTCAATAGTTGAAGTTGATGTCGTGTCGTGTTCTCGGGCTGGTTAGAAATCGTGCGTCGTCTCCACTGGTTGTCTGTTCAACCACTGCAGCAAATAGTCGGATCTTTTAGTGATGTGTGGCTGATAGATACGATAGAGATGATCAACTATGGCTGGACGGAGGGTTAACTATCGGTGTGTAAAAAAGTCACGGTAGGGGGGATGTAATATTGATGAAGGATATAAGAAATAGTTTCCAAGCCTGGTTGGGGAGGGATAAGGACTTGATATATCCACTGTTGGCTGTTAGTTTATTCCTTTTCTTTTTTTTTCTCTTTTCTTATTTTACTAGGCTGATTCTTTTTTTTTTTTCCCCTAGTTTGATACCGAGCTCTTCATGTGGTATAATTTTTTTTTTCTTTGCTAATCAAGTTCCGTGAACCGTGTAAAGTCCGACCGCCGATCGGAACGGAGAAGAGCATAAACCCCATCCGTCCCAGCAGATCCACGGTATTGTTACCAGCCTTGGGGACCCATAAGGCAGTCCCTTCACTCACCGCCCCATTGCAACCCAATCAGATTGGATCATGATGAGTCACGGGGACCCAACGACCAGCAGTGAAGGACTTCGGATGACCAATCTTTCCGCCCCGTTACCTCCGAATCCAAATTTTACAGGCTGAATGGAACTTTCCAGGCATCACATTGGATCCATACTGCTCTATTATTCATCGACTTGGATATATCCACTCTTCCGGTCGGCATCGTTCCAGCCGGTATTAGTGATGATTACTTTCTATGAGTCTTTCTTAACACGAAGGTTAATTATCGATGGATTTCAAATCCAATTTAACTTTCAATGCTTCAACAATGTTGTTTACTGATCTTTGGTCAGCTTTTCATGACCAGCGATGGCATCATGGAAAAGTGGAGGATAATCAATCCTATGATTAAAAGATCAAGTCCTCTGTCAGGTACTCGTGAGAGGCGATCGACGGCCTTCATCGACCAGGATACATACCAGTCTGACGTTGGAATGACTTCGGGGTCAGCGAAGTCCGACGCTGGTTGGGGGAATCTCGTCCCCAGGGCTTGGATCCCGCCATTCCACTTTGGGGCCTCAGCTGCTTATCATGCAGATATAGCAGAAAAGGCAGAGCCCCGAGTACTGTACGCAGGGCCCGGATATTGTACAATGATATTCAATCTGTAACGAGGGTCGACAGCTCCGGTCCATTTGTTCCCAGCCGCCTACGTAAGCTCATCTGTGGCTGTACTGGAAGGCTACCGTATTTCCTCCCTTGCTGCCAATAAGCTGCCGAGCACTGGTTTGGTATACATATATACCTATCGTAAGAAAAGGTCTCGGCACTGCGTATGCGGCTCCCCCACAGATCTTTAGATTCTATCTGCCTAACACGTCCACGACGACAAGACCCCTTACTTCTGAGAATACTCTGGTTCCCTCTTGGCATTAAACTGTAATCTTGCCAAGACCTTATCCCTCCTTAAACTGAAAGGCTGTGCCTAGTCGAGTGGACGAGGCAACGTCCATTGCCAGTTGTCTGGAAACTTTTCGTCGACCACGAGAAGTACGAATACGAGCCTCACGTTTTTGGAAATTGACCTTCCCTTTATCGTAACTCAACTACGAGACAACGGGATCTTGGGTCTGGAGTTAGCCATGTGTCGAGACACGGCCATTGTGGCTGTCCTTTGTGGACCCGTGGTATCAACACAGCCCTAGAACTGGGTCTGCCATTTTGGCTGACATGCCAGAATTTGATACGTGTACAGATACGGAAAGGTATTATTCCACTGCCAAATTTATGGTTATCGCACATCCAACGCCAGATTATCAATTCTCGTTTTACCTCGGGGTCGTCAGTGGTTCAGATGCACCCCATGTTTTCATTCATGCTCTCTCGTACTATGTCTATCCTAAACTGGGCTGGCCATTGGACCCGTCGGCTGTTCCGCAGAATCTACAGCGGGGACATGCCAATGGCAATCCACCACGTCTCCAGAATTCCTCTGCCAAAAGAATCCAGACATGAACTTTGGCCACAATACCTGGCCCTCGATGACATAGGATCAAGTCGTTGTGCTTTCTTTCGCTATGTACCACTTCCAAAGCACGGCAGGCGTAAATTTAATCGCCATCCTTATCAACGAGATGAATGTCATGACGTCACGACCTGGCGATCCCTGAAGGTTCTCACAAATAAGCATCCCCAGTTTCATTCAATTACTTCATGTGTCCACTGCTGCTAGTCTGGACATGAGAGCCGATCTGGGGATGCTGTCATGTGTGAGGTCGATAATTGATCTTGAACTACTGATTTCCTACCTTATCCCTCTCCACCGGTCATACATAAATGGGTTGATATACGCTAACTAACTAATGCTAGCATAATTACATAATCCACTGCATAGTGGATATTCATAACAGAGTTGTGATCTGATCACAAGCCACAGACGGCGGTCCCGTGGGTTGTGAATGAGCGGAATGTCGGCGAGTCGGGGTTAAATCGGCGAAGCCCGTGCTGGTGGATTCGCAGTGGATCACTGGATACTCCATATACCCTAATCGACTGGGTCCGATCTCTGGATGCCAAAATTTTTCAGCCGAGGTGTCGGTGTCATTTCTGACCTCTGTACAGAGTAGACTAAATTTGTTTAGTCTTGCGAGAAAATTTTTGCGGCCTTATTTTAGTCTATAAACTAATGCATGACACTTATATAAGGCTTGAGTAAAGTAAGCTACATACTTTTACGGATAGAGTATTGAGCCAATCCTATCTCTTCAGCGAAAGTTAAGTTCATGATATGACGATGTTAAAAAATCTTGACCGTAGGCCAGAATAACGCCTTGCTGTGCATATCAGACCATATATGGCCTAAGGGCAGTAGTTGAACACCTATTTCCTGGTTCTCAAAACTAATAATCGAAGAGAGCCTTCAAGTAAGGGTCAAGGGAGACCCACAATTCGGAACTTTTCTCAGCCCTGGCAGATCCCTGAGAAGAGTAAGTACGGTAATCCGGTTTCCCGGTTACGGAGCATGAGCGTTGATCCACCGGCACGCTACATCCGTTCCCATAAAATTATCTACTGAGGACGGGCATTTGCTCCGGAGTTAGTGCGTCTTCGAGTCCGTCCGAGATATCCCTCGAGGCTTTCGGAGGCCTTGTCGATGACTCATGACCATTCTACTTCCATCCTTTTCTCATAATGCGCATAGTCGACACGGACTGGACCCGCCTGTAATGGTATATCGGCGATTAACACCCATAGGTCGCTGGATATGTGTTTTCAAACCTCTCATTGGTATGAAGCGGTGATCCGCAATGGTTGAACAAACTTTGATAATTGAGGCTGCTACCGGAGATCGGCTGGATACTCTGGATACTCGACCTTGGAGTAACCATCCATAAGCCTCTGGTTTTTCTTTTTTACTTGATCCTTGTTCCTCTTCTATTCTATCCCTTATTAAGGGTTTCCTTTCCTATCGAGAATAGACAATCGCTGTGAAAGGAGAGCATATTGAGCTGGATACTATATCTGACCTCACCAACTAGACATGCAGAGTCACTGTGCCGCAAGGCTGGTGGAACCAGTAGATTGTACAGGCACATGAACATTGTCAAGTTTACTTGCAAACCTAGCGCTATTGCTCTCGACATGCAGTGAACCGGGGTCGGCGGGAATTTGCTCGGAAGGCTTAGTTAGTCTAAAGCAAAACCATCTTCTTTTGGGGATACAAGCAGAACCATGGTCTCCTCGCGTTAGATATCCACTTTCCGGATGTCTATGCGTATTCCAAGTGTACCACTGCTTTGCAATGCCATCTTATGCAGATGGTATCCATACGTGGCTGACCTTATGTCTGCTGTGCAGACAATAGGCAAGCACCGGATCGCTGATCCTCGGTAAGTTCTCACCCCCGGGACGGATGAGCCTTCTCTAAGCCGATGGTGTAGATCTCTATGGAAAACAGCTCACCGTCCCCACGGAGTGTAGGTCTGGATGTCCACGTTGTAGAAGGTACCCAAGTCCACCAGTCTGGTGTCATTTGGATTGCTATGACATTCCGACGGATAGCTATACGACTGAGAAACCAAATTTGGAAGATCTGCAAAAGTTCGCAGTTGCGGTTAGACCCCTATATAAGCCTCAGAATAAAGACAGTATCGATGTCGCATCCACTCAAGAAGGCTTGCTATGTTGCTTTACAAGTCATATCTTGAAGGAGTTCAGCCAAGAGTTGTTTATGCAGTTGCCAATGGAGATCCAAGCTATGATCTTGGAGTTCCTTGGCCCATGCTGGTATTTAATAGTGCTTAGGGAGACCCGTCGTTTATTTAAGCAGATACAAAATGGTCATATAAATCGGTGTGAACGGCTGAACCTGGCAAAGGAGCTTTATACCGGCAGGACAAAATACCAGGGCAAGTCCTACATCTCCATAATCAGCAACATGCCACTTAAATTGCCGAGCCTATATGATCAACAGCACATAATCCCACCGAAGCTTAACCCGTGGAATATACAGAATATAAATCATGTTCGGAGCAACCGCCATTTGGATCATGTAAAAGTTGATGCTAAGGTTCGTGGCCTTATTGTCTGTTTCCGTTGGGATGATCCAATTGGGATCTACGGCTTCACCGGTATATCCAAGGCATTCCAATCATTCGTCAAGTTGATGAAACAACGCTCACCCTATGGCAACGATTATTGGATTTACTTTCCGATTAGCAATGACGAGCTCCTTACAGCAGCCTGGATTCGGAAAGAAAAAGACTCCAGTGCATGGGCTTGGCCCCTGCGTAGGCTGTAAGTTCACCTCGCTCAAATTTCATGTCTTCTGTGCTTATGGAACAGATCAAAACCTCTCTGGGAAGGGACATTACATTCGGGGGCCACACAACCAAACCACCCGAATCGTATCTACGAGTACCAGTCCCTTGTCCAAGATGGTGATGGCGTCATTTCGGGAATAGTCCATGATGGACTAGATCCAGATCCTAAGCGTTTCTCTAAGCGTATCACGCAGATCGGAGTCACTTGCGATCCCGGGTGCCAAGTTGAGACACTGGCGCACGAACCCCAGTTTGGCCATTATGAATGCCCCGGGATATGGGACAACAGGACAACACCTACCTCGTACATGACCAAGGCCCTGCTTGAAGGCCTTTACAAGGTACGTGTCTGTAGGGATCTGGAAAAGCCACATCGTCCATGTATTGGCCTTCTGCTGTATTATGTCAATGAGGGCGTTGAGTCACTGGGACAGGTTCACTGGGGCTGTGACCTTACGCGTAATTTTCTTGCACCCATCTGTCTTGAAAAAGGTAACGGCGACGGGAAGGATTATATAAAGGACGCTCTGAGAGATACATCGTGTACTTGGCTGGAGTGTGAAGCTGGTACATTGCAGAAAATACCCCAACATGGGACTCTTGTTTGGTGGTTTGGCGACTTGGGTAATAAGGTTGTTATCTATACCGATCCGGAGCGCTGAGAGTTCCAGGCCATTGATTAGATAGCTATACCCCCGTTACCTTAAAAGTAATGGATCCATAGACAGGGTTTCATCTAAACCCAGTTGCTTCATATACTAACCTCAGTCCAACATTGGCGTTGTCATTGATGGGTAAGAGAGATTCCAAACAGACGCCTCAAGCTCTTCATAAGATATGATCATTTAGCGATGAAACTATGTAATAGTTCTCGTAGGAGTGTGTGTATGTGGATATATGTATCCTCCGAACCAGTATCACAAGCATCCAAGAAACGCAATGCATAATATACTATTCGGCAAGGACAACTTGCTTTCATATCATAAGTGATTACTACGTCAGCCAAAACAAAAAGCTTTCTTAATCATCCCACCCCCAAATCTCCTTTAACCTCTTCTGCGACTCCGTCGTCGGCCAATAACTCGTCTCCCTAGTCGTACCAACCAGAACCTCCATCAAAGCCTTCTGCTCCCTCAAATCCGTAAACCGATCCCCACAGATATTAACAGCAATACAAAGCGTAGTAAACGCAGGCGGGGACTGTCGATTTGACACCGCAATCCCACAAATCTCAAAAACAATAGCTCTCAATTTCGCATTCATAACATCCATCGACTCTCGACAGAGTGGCCCAACACGGGGTATATGTGGTGAGTAGGCCGTGAGGAGGATATTGAGTAATCCCATACTCTGAGACGCGACGATGTGGCAATCATCCAGATACCAGATTTTGGGGAAGAGTTGGTCGTCCATTTCGTGGTTGGGTTCTTCGTAGTAGACGGGTGAGAAGGACGGGGGTCGGGATTTGAGCCAGCGGTTGTGGAGGTCGATGAGCTCGTAGTAGCGGTCTAGAGGGGCTGGGTGGTCATCGTAGCAGTATTGTAAGGCGTGGGCGCAGATGATGAGGAGGCGGTTCGTCCAGATGTGGTCTGGGGCTGGGGCCCAGGTTAGATAGGGGGTTGTGATGGAGAGGGGAAGACGGATGGGTCGTTGTTGGGAGAAGGCGACGTGGAATTCTTGTCGGAAGCCGACCCAGAAGACGGCTTGGCGGAGACCTGGAGTTGAGAGGGCGAGTTTGGCTTGGGCTTCGACGAAGACGTTGAGACCTTGGATTGCTGTTTCGGTTGGGAGGTCGATGAAGGGGCCTGTCAGGCTTTGGGGTTAGTTTGGGGGGTATATATGGGTGATTTTGATTGTGGCGGGAGGGAGGGGAGATGAAGGGTATACTGTCTAGTTCTTCGTAGAATCGGAGGATTACTACTGTTGCGAGGAGGATTTCGTCCATGAGAGCTTCTGGTTCGCTGGCGAGGGATCTCAGATCTGTGATGCATTTGTTGTGGTAATATAATACTGTCTCTTCGTTGATTGCTAGGTCTTGCTGTAGTCCGTACTCTTCGGTGATCCGGCCCTGCTTCTCTTTTGGTAAAGTGCTGAAGTGTCTTGCCGATACGGCCAGAATGGCGTTGCGTAGTGGTTCGCTTCCTCGGGCGATCTGAGGGATGGCCTTGACGAAATGGCGCTCTGGATCACAGAGGTCGAACTATGACATAAAGTGTCAATTCAGGAGATGTCTGGCTGGCGAACGTGTGCAGGACGGAGTCGTGGGCACTCACCCATCTGGCTAGGTACTCGACAAAGTACCGCAGTAGACATGCTTCCTTAGGACCGATTTGCGGCCAAGGGAGGTGGGGAGTATCCAGAAGACGTGATGAGAATGCTCCAAATGGCGTGGATGGGCTCTCTTCCGAGTTAAACGGGGATAGAGACTGTGCATGGGCGCTGCTGTCTAGAGCTTTGGGGGATTGGAATGACGCCTCTGTTGGAGAGGTTTCGTTGAATTTGGGTGTTTCATCAATGTATTGCAATGTACGGTACCCTCGCAACGGTCAGTTGTTAAACATATGTTTTCATATCATGACGGACCTGCTAGTGAAGCATCCGATATGGTATGTCGAAAATTCCTAGGTGCTCTCCGAACACATTCTATTCCGGATCTTTCACATCGTGCACATTTCGGGTTGCCATAGCTGCCTGATTATATACAATTAACACTTTCCTTACTCCCCTGTACAGCTGGGAGTAACTGGAGGAGACCGACATTTGACATGGTGCTCTGTCCGGCAAATTAGAGTATGTCCAGCACAAGGTAGATGTGGAATCACATACTTCGACAGCTCTCACTGCAAGATGCGTATATATCAGCAATTGACAAGGGACACTACGTAGAAATACAATTAGAGATACTGACCAGGGGATTTGTCTCGGTGGCATTCTATTAAAAATGTTAAATTGTGATCTCTTAATGAGAGACGATTGTAGTTTGTGACGGTTCTGGAAGTTCAAACGCCGATGTTCATCTCCGTCGGGTAAGGTTCGCCGGTTTACCCCGCATGGGGTTAAGTGGCCCTATCAATTCAACTTTTACGGATTATTCTGATATACAATGACTATGATCGATAATATGATCAATCTGTGTTTCATTACATGCAATGAGAAATACGACACTAAGGGGCTTTTGTGCTTTCCCCTTGCAATGCGTCTGGGGATCTTAATTATATCTCGTTTATTCCCCGCATCCACACGCATGATCTCCACATCCGAGATTACGCTGTTAATGATAGATTAATGTGACTAAAAAAAAAAAAAAAAAAAAAAAAAAAAGACAGAAGAGAAAGACGGAAATACTAAAGGCAGGCACAGAGAGAGAGACAGATGGAGAGACAAGGTCAGAAGATATGATCTGCGACCTTGAAGCATAGACCACCACCGACCTCAACTGAGTAACATGCATGACCGAGAGATCCCAGGTTGTCATTTGCAGGAGAGAGATCGGGATCTGAGATTCCCAAATGGCACCGTATCATAATAAAGCTCAAACCCAAGGAACTGAGTTACCAGTGCACTGCGGGTGAAATTCGACCGAACAGGAGGTATCTGGTTCAACGCTCTGTTGGGCATCTATGCAGTCCTTCGACGCGGCTGGCTAACGTTGTATTATACACACATCGTTTCGGACCAGTAGATCTCATACATGGATATCTTCATCCTGCAGCTTATGGTCTGGATGTCGAGACCGTATCTGAAGAGGGAGTGGGGTAATTATCCAGTCTGACGATGATTGCTGCACTCAGTTTTACAACGTCACTATGTACGTTTTGACTATCGTTCAAGCTGACTCTAGTCTCGTTGGGGACAGGGATTAGAGTAGCGAAAGAAAAAAAAAACAAAGGATTCGCAAGGCTTACAGCCAATCATCGCCGATATAACTGTGTAGCCTCCTCGTCAGCGAACAAATCGCCGTCAGCCTCATGGTAGAGGAGATTCAAGTCTACCCCTCCTCTAGATACTATCCAGTGATTTCCCTCAAGATGGCGGGGAATCTCGATACAACAACCGCCATACCTTGGGTGTCATTTTTTAAAGCCCAAGAAACAGGGACCTTCCTCCTCATCTTGCATCAGGTTCATTATTGAGCGAATAACGCCTGGGCTTGCCAGAATCGAAGCCACGATCTCATTGGGCAGATAACCATGACGAAGCTCAGGGCAGCGTATCAACGACAGCCACACATCTCTCCAACACGAGGCTCAGTTGCCCTTAGGCAATGATAATAGCGAGAGAAATACAGAAAAACAGAGCCTTTGACGACTGAAATGGACTCAGACCATATATGGACGATGCCAACCCCACTGGGTGAGACTAAATTCTTCTTAGCGGGAGATCTACCTAATTCTTGATCTGCATTGACCTTCTCCATGCCATAGTAGAGGAGGCCTCACCTCCGACTGATTTCCCTTTGTCATCATGTCTTCCTTATCGAAGGATAGGCTTCTACCGTCTATTCAGGCGCTGTTGCACAGTTGCACTAGGGCCATTATACTAGCTTCCGAGGTACATTTTGAGGACGATTTGAGCACGACACAGGATCAAGCTCTCGGTGTACTTATCAACTTGGACCTTGAGATAAAACACCTACTCCGGCAGATCCTGCAGCCAGTAGCACTGCCAACTCCCCTCTTCACCTCTGCCCTCCTGGGTTCAACCTGGGCGCTCGACCTCTTTGAGCGGCGGTTGCAGCTGTACCGATTCTCCAGCCCTGGAAGACAGTATGTCTGTGACTCATGGACGCGACTCATTGAGACACTACAACAATACACAATGAATCTCCAAATATTGAATAGAACTTCGGTTTCGGCTTCGTAAGTCCTCATCGGGTGTGCATGAATGGTGCCCATTCGTGACTGACTCTGCTCTACGTAGTGCCGATGTCATCCCTAATGTTCATTCCATGCAAAGACTGTTCAACAGCTACAATAATGATGTACAACAGGAGCTGGAAGTTCAAATCCGATATGAAGGGCAGCAGTGGGATGGGTCCCCTGACACACCGGGCTATCTAGACGTACAGCAGGAGTATCCGCCATCCACCTATGCTACCCCACCAAGCAGTATCAATGATGGGGATATCTACGATGACCTTCCCGCCATTCCTGGACCCCCTCTTCAAGCTCCCAGTCTCCCATCCAAGGAGCAACACCATCAAGCCGCTATAGAGCATGGTCGGGAGAAGGAGCGTATGAAGATCTATGATACTCTGAAAACTGTCTGGCTACCTGAGTGCGAAGCCCCAGAAAAGCGATGGAGCCACCTGGTGCGCGCGATAAAGTTGGACTGTGTTGACGGCGTTAACCTCCTCCTGGATCTGGGTGTGGATGTGAATCAGAAGTGCGAGAACGATTTGCCGTTGTGTCTGGCAGCCAGACAAGGGCGTGACAGGATAGTCCAAACCCTCTTAGAACGAGGGGCGGAGATTGAGAAGCGAAGTGATTACGGCAGCACCGCGCTCCTGTCTGCGGCTGGAGCTGGCCATGTCTCTACCATCGCCCTTCTCCTGGCCAGAAAGGCAAACACGGAAGCCAGAAGTACTTCCCCTCTCTGTATGGGCTATACGCCGTTAATGAGGGCTGTGAAATCCGGCCACATGCGTGCGATTCAAGTGCTTGTCAAGGGAGGTGCGTATGTTGCGGCCCAGAGTGACGCAGGGGAGTCTTTGTTGCATGTTGCCCTACAAGACAGTCGTAAAGAGATCATCGATGAGGTGCTTGGGCTGCAGCCTCCCATGGGGATGGCGGACAGGAATGGTGATACGGAGTTGCATGTCGCCGCTACGCAGGGTCTAGT